GGGAGATAACCCGGTACTGCTACGGCGGGGAAGCGATGGCAGTGAGAGGGGACTGGGGGAATTAGCCACGCAGTAGCACAGGGCGACCCTGAGCCGCCTGCACTGTCGGCTCCGGGATCGGGCTCCTCGGACCTACCCTGGCATCACCCCTTTGGGCAAGCCAGAAGGAAAGGGGAAATGAAACGTGGCGGCCCATCCCTCCCATGTCCCACCAGGCGCGACAGCGGGGATCTCCAGCATCGGGATCTCTGATCGGCAGGTTCAAAACGAAGACAACCCCCCCCCCCCCAAAGCCTTCCGTTGGCCGCCCGGGAAAAAAACAGAGCTGGGATCACTCCCTAGCGCTTTCTTATTCCGGGACCCGCTCCCCCGGCCCGCCCTCTCCTGTGTATCTACCTGCAACCCAACAGCAGTAGGTGGGAGCTCTGCCCGCGTCGTGCACCCGCCTCCCCCTTGACCTGAGAGCCTGGCACAGAGACCCCCGATCTCCTCCGGATCGGGTCTTCAGGCGCTGCTGACGGGCTCTGGGCATACAGAAGGGCGACCCATGGCGCTGGGGGCCGAGTTAAGGCGGTGGCGGGGGGAGGGAGCGTGTTTTCAGCGCAGCGACACCGCTGCAGCCCCCTGCCTTGTCCGATGGAGCCAGCCGGCCGTGCAGAGGCAGGGGCCCGTCCCGGGTTCATTTCCGAGTGGAGACACGGGACACGGCTGGGGACCGGCACCCCGGCGCATCGCCAGCTCCCCTCGGCCTCAGCGCGGGGTGTGGGGGGATGCGCCCGGGGCGGAAGGAGGCAGCAAGGGGGTGGGATGAGATCGGAGCACGGGCACGGACAGACGGGGAGCGCGGGAAAGGCTTCGGCTAGGTGGTTTTCGTTGTTGTTGTTTTTAAAGCTGGCCCCCGGGAAAGCTGGCGGGGCGGGGAGTCGCCGCACTGGGCAGGGCTGCGGGGCACAGCGCCGGGCACGCGTGGAGCGAGCAGAGCCCCCGCCATCGCTGCCCCTGCGCCGGGGGGCTGAAGGCAGCACGGGGGCGGCGGATGTAATGGCACCGAGGGTGCCCCTGAACCCCTGGGCCCTGCCCCCGGGACAGCTCAGAGCCCCTCGCCTTAACGCGGATTAACGGCGCTGCCGCAAAAGGGAGAGGAACTGGCATAAAGCCTGACCCGCTTGGGGGGGGTGGAGGATGAGGCCGAGGTTTAGGGCTAGGGCCCCCTCCCGCCCCTGCCCCTGCCCCTGCCAGCGCAGCGCTGGGGGCATTGCCCGGCCTGGCCACCGCTCAGCGCGCCCGGGCAGTGCCTGCTGGCGGCGAGCTCTGCTAGGGCCACCGGCCTCAGCCTGGCACGGGAGCGGGTCTGGCAAACCTGCGGGCCCTGATTAACTGCGGGCCGTTACGCACGATTGCAGTTATGCTCTTTCCATTTCGGATACGCTTTGCAGGCAGGCGGTGGGGCGCTTATTAGCAGCAATACGGCTCCGCCGGGCCAGGGGCTGGAGTTGGGGTCCCAGCTGACTCCCCCTTCTCCCCACCGCTGCTGCTCGGCCGTGATCACCTGGCAGTGGTGCGCGGGGGGGTGCTCCAGTGGCAGACGCCAGGTCCCACGGGTCGGGACAGCTGCTATTAACACCGCTATTAATATTCCTCGTTATTAGTCATTACAGCTACACCTTTAATTTTTAGAGTAAGGGGAACCCCATCTGCCTTGCAGGTCCTTCTGCTCGTCCCCGCCTGGATCTGGCTGTTATTAGCCGAGGACTACCCTGTATCGCGAACCACGCGGGTGACTATTAACTATGTCCCCGTCTGTGCCAGCCACTTCACACGGGCAGGGACTCCGTCGTGCCCTGCGTCTCCGAGGCACAGATCCCAGCAGCGGGGGCAGCGCTGCTTTCGGGTCAACCCCTAGGATGCTGGCGGGGCTAACGCGGGGCATAGATCGGCCCGGGTCTCTCTGGCCTCGCCTCGCAGCTAGGAGGGGTCGTGCCTGGATCTTTCAACCTAAAATAAAGCGATCGGGTTAGCCTGGAGCAATCTGCCTCCGATGCCCGGGGCTGATCAGGAACCGCTGCAGCAGAAAGCACCGGGTCATTGCTAATCGATGAGCTCCCGGAGCTGCACACAGCCGGGCGGAGCGCTTCTAGGCGAGCCCAGGGTAAGGAAATCCATGAGCTCCACTAGATCGACGGTGTGCGGGTGAGAGGCGTGTTACAGAGCGGCGCTTCCCTACACACACACACACACACACACACACACGCACACTCTCTCTCTCTCTCTCTCCCTTGGGTTTATCAGCTGGAAACGGGCAGGGGAGCGGGCAACTGAGCAGCCCCAGGCCGGCTCCTGAGCGCGCCGCTGGGCTTAAATCGCGTCCAGTTGGGAAGCCGGCGCCTGGCTGGACTCGTGCAAAGCCTTGTCCCGCTCTAAACCGTGCTGTCTGCCCGGGGCCAGATCCTGCCCTGGGTTAGGCCGCTGCAAATCGGGAAGGACCCGATCCACCCGCAGGGAGTTTTCATCCAGCGTGTGAAAAGGATCGGGGCCCGGAGCTGTGCGCAGGATGCTTCCCGCTGAGTTGCCAGAGCTGAGCCTTGTGTTACGAAGTAAGGGACGGGAAGGAGAAAGGAAGGAAGAGGCGAGACCCGCTCCGAGCAGGGGCACACAGGACCCGAGCATCTCCCAGAGCGCCCCCCCCCCCTTTTTTTGGGGGGGGTGTAATTCTCCCTTGTCCATGCTTTAAAATGGACATGTTTCCTCTGCGCCCAAAGAGCCGGGCGCGGGGCTCCGGGACTCTTTGGGAGCGGACCCAGATAGCTCCGGGTTGCTGCTTTCCCCGCTGGGGAGG